TTACAACTGCTATTACATTGAATTGTTTTCAATTATTAGATTGTGACAAAATATAGAGCTGTTTGTAAAAAATTATAATGTTGTAATTTAATAAGTTATGTACACTATTACATATAGTAGGAAACAAGAGCAAATGAAATATTAATATAATTTGTATTGGTATTGTAAATAAATAAAAGTAAGAGATTTTATATAAATGCATCTAAATTATAAAAATACAAAAGTATTTGTATTAGAATTTTGAATATTATAATTTATATGAATTAATAATTTTGTTTTGTTTGCAGCATCATTACTATGATATTGTTCCCATTTCACCTTCTCGTATGTCCGGATTAGCAGTAAAGCAAGTATTTTTGAGAAATTTTTGTAAAAACATATCAATATCTGAAAGATTAACATCATCTTGTTATAATTTGATGGGAATAATGGCAAATTCTGCTGCACAGCAAAAATTAAATCAAGCATCAATGGAACCTTTCTTAGAGATGTATTATAACTCTAGTAACAATCATGAAATTCCATTAACATTTTCATCAGAAAATTTAGCATGTGAAAATAATCTGCAAACAGTTGCTCTTGAAACAAGTACATGTGTCGACACTTCCATGCTTTTGAAAGAGAGATACCTGACCGATAAACAGAAATATAAAGCAATAAGGCAATGGAAACGTTTAAAAAAAGGTAAAAGTAGTATTTGTATTATAGAAAGAAATTTAATATTCATTATGTAATTTTTCCAGAGAAGCTGACCTCTAATTCTGAAGAATTTTTTATTCTGAGAGTACTATCCTTCAACATTTTGGCACAATATCTACTGGAAACATATCCATTTCTATATAAAGGACATGATAAACGGGCACTACCTTGGAAGATTAGGAGGCAGCTTCTCTTACAAGAAATTTTAGGGGCACAAGCTAATGTTAGTTTTTTTTTTTTTTTGATAATTTTTTATATAATTTAGCTATTAATTCATGTATGACGATTAAGTATAATGCTTCATTTTATTAAATGATTAAATGAAAGCATATTTTAAAATAATTAAATTATATTTGATGAAATAACATATTGAATTTATTTTTTAATATCAGTAAAAAATAGATTTTTATCATTAAATACGTAAAACATAGTCTGTATAATTAAAAATTACAAATTTGTTATAATTTGTTTTCTGTTTTAATTAAATTTTAAAATTCTAATTCTTAACAAAAGTGATTATTTTATCTAAGAATCAGAGTAATTTTCTTAATAAGTTAATTATTATTTGCAGGTAATATGTCTTCAAGAAATGCAAGAAGAACATTTACAAGAATTTTTGATTCCATTTAAAGATTTGGGTTATAACTACATATATAAAAAACGAACAAATGATAAAAGGGATGGTTTACTTTTCCTATATCGTTCTGATCAGCTTACTTTAATGGAATATGCAAAGGTTGAGCTTTATCAATCTGGTATAGAATTGCTGAGTAGAGACAATGTTGGAATCATTGCCAAACTCGCACTTAAAGAAAGCCCTGAAACACAATTGGTTATTGCTACAACTCATCTGCTTTACAATCCACGACGAAATGATGTAAGATTGGGACAAGTACAACTTCTTTTAGCAGAAATTGAGAGAATTGCTTTCCTGGAGAATACAATGTAAGTAATTCTTCTTAATTATTTAGTTTTTATGTACAGAATTACACAAAATATGTTTTAAGTACATTAAAGTTTGAAATAAAGTTCTCATTTCTAACACGAAGAGTAAAATCTCTAGTTGCAAAACATATGTTGTGTTTTTGACTTTTACTAACAAATAAATATATATTTAATGTTTATTTACTTTTTTAAATATTTGTATATGTATAAAAAATACGTCAATGTAATGGATTCATATACAACAGTACAAAACTTGATAAGATGTTTACCTGTACTAACAATATGATGAAATTAACATTTATATTACTATACATGATACTAATCATTTTATAGTTTTCTGCATTTATACAATCTTTTATCAAAATTTATAATCTATTTTGAATATGAAAAATATATTCGGATGAATGGGAGAATACGAAAAGTGAAGCTACTATTTAAAATATTTTGTAGTATGAATGAGAGTTAAAGCTAATGTTTGATGTGCAAAAAAATGAACATTTTATCAATTTTATTTTGTTTTTATGCAAGAATTTTTAATGATTAGGTAGACATTTTTTTATTAATTTTAAGATGTCCAAAAATTATGAATTT